GTCTCTTGGTGCGTCTGGTAGGCCATAAAAAATCATGTCACCATAGGCTGCCAGAAGGCCTACAAAGGCCAATCACCCAACTGCGGGCAATCGGCTTATGCAGAGGCAGAAAAATGCATAACGAAACTCGGAGGCAATTGCGAAACAAAGGAGAAGGACGCGGACAAAAAGCCACTGGTAGTGATGCCACGCATACACAAGGCGCAGAAGAACTACTTAACAACTGAAAAGGAGTGCCTTACTGTCGTCTGGGCAATAAGAAAGTTCCGTCCATATTTGTATGGAAGTCCTTTTTGCGTGGTTAGGAACCGCCACTTGCTCTGCTGGCTCCCAAATCAGAAGGACCCTCCGGACGCCTCGCCTGGTGGAGCCTACGACTGCAGGAGTTCGACATGACCGTGGTGTACGAGTCCTGCCTGAAGCACAATGATGCCGAGCGTCTGTCAAGGGCCCCAGTCGAGGCAGGTCTTGCCTGCATCGAAGACGAAGATGATGAGTGTTTATTCGGCGCTCTGGATGTCAGCGACATGGCAGCACTCCAACGAGACGACCCAGAACTGCGAGCGCTCATCGAGCACCTAGAGGGTTTTCATTTTTTCATTTTTTTCATTTATTATTCCCTCAGGGCCCGAAGGCATTACTGAGGGGAGTGGGCGGTCGACACATAAAAGTAACATAGTTGAACGAGGCAAAAAAACACACACACACACACACACACACACACACACAGCAAAAAAACACGCGCTACGCATCATCTGTTAAAAAGTTGGTAATAACATTTTTAAAATCGACAGTGTTAGTTATTGAGACTATATGTGCGGGAAGGCGATTCCAATCAATGGAGGCTTGGTGTAGAAAAGAAGCATTAAAAGTGGATGTGCTACAATGGGGAATCCCTACCTTTAGGTCATGGTCTACACGTGATGATATGTAAGATGGTTCTAAAAACAATGCTTGACGGAGAGCGGGGTTAGAGTAATAAATCTTGTGAAATAAACATAGACGATATATTTTTCTTCGGAGAGAGAGATCAGGTAAGGAGAGGGACGATTTCATGGAAGTTACACCGGCTGTACGATGATAGTTCGAGAGTATGAAACAGGCAGAACGATTCTGAATAGATTCGACAGCTGATGCAAGGGTGATACCGGGACTTTAGATAGAAGCTGCATATTCCAGTTTAGGACGAACTAGGGTTTTATAGAGGAGAAGTTTTAACGAAAGAGGAGCAAGCGAAAAGTTACGTTTGAGATAGCCCAAAAGCCTATTTGCGTTGTTAGTGACATATTGGACGTGGATATTCCAGGAGAGGTCGTTGGTTATGTGAATGCCGAGATATTTATAGGAGGACACAGAAACTAGAGTAGAATTGTTGATAGAGTAGGAAGGACAAGTGTTGTTATGACAAGATACTCTCATAGAAGTACATTTAGTTTTGTTAAGCTCCATGAGCGATTCCTTGCACCATTTGCAGATGTTGTTAATATCAACCTGAAGGGCGGAAATGTCAGAGTCGTTAACTATCTCTTTATAAATTACACAGTCGTCAGAGAATAAACTAATAGAGGAAGAAACATGCACAGGAAGGTCATTGATATAAATGAGAAATAAGAGCGGTCCGAGTACGGAGCCCTGAGGGACACCGGAGTTGACAGGTGAGGGCGAAGAATTAGCGTCATGAGTTCGAACGAATTGGAAGCGATTCGTTAGGAATGATTTTATCCATCTGAGGACATTGGGATCTATATTAAGGTTACTACGTTTATCAAGAAGTAGCTGGTGAGAAACCTTGTCAAAAGCTTTTGAGAAATCTAGGAATATGCAGTCAGTTGTAGAACCCCGGTCTAGAGTGAGGTGAAGATGATGAGTTAATGTTAGCAGTTGGGTATCACAGGAATAAAACTTTCGAAAACCATGTTGAGCTGTGTTGAAAAAAGAGTTTAAGTCAAGAAAATTAACAAGATGTGAATATATTACGTGTTCAAGAATTTGGCAAGGGATGCTCGTTAGAGAGATCGGGCGGAAATTAATAGGATCATGTTTATCGCCGCCTTTATGAATTGGAATCACCTTCCCCACCTTCCAGTCACTGGGTAATATTCCTTGTTCGAGAGACTGGGAAAAAAGATAAGATAGAATAATGCTTGAATACGTTTTAGTGTTCTTTAGAAACTTAACAGTTACATTGTCGATGCCGGCTGCCGAAGAGGTTTTAAGATTTTCAATGATGTTAGCAATCCCTTCAGATTCTATAATGACAGGATACATTGGCAAAACGTTACAAACTGGAGCTGCGGTAAAGTTGGAGGTAACAGGGCACGAAAACTCTTTGACAAAAACATCATTTAAAACAAAAGAACACTGATCATTTGGTACATCTACTTTGTCAGCCATTCTAAGCACAACATCGGAACTTTCAGTGGGGTTAACAACTAAGTTAAGCGAGTGCGGTTCCCCGAGCTTCCTTACGAATCCTGCCTACCTTCTCCATACGGCAAGGGGTACTGTACAAAGAGAACTTCGTCAACAACAACACTGCATGGCTGTTGGTTATTTTTTCCAGTCTTCGAGAAGAAATCTTCTAAGGATGCCATGACGACCCAACGGCTGGACACCTTGGATAGAGCAGGACGCTCGCCAGGATTCAGGATTCGAGAAAAGTACTACTGGCCGAGGCTACCGAAGACCGTTAACCACTACACTTGATCATGACACGAGTGCCAGCGACGCAAGAAACCGCCGACGAAGCCGTCAGGACTTCTGCGTCCGATTCGTCCCCCGTCCACGCCGTTCCAGCAGATCAGAAGAGATTTACTTGGCCCTTTCCCGCCGTCAACGTCGGGAAACCGCTGGATAATCGTCGCCACAGATTATCTCACATGGTACGCCGAGACGGAAGCGCTTCCATTAGGTACGGCTGTTGAAGTCGCCAACTTTTTCATGGAGTCCATTGTCCTTCGGCACGGCGCCCCCGAAGTCCTCATTACAGACCGTGGATCATCGTTCATGGCCCAGCTGACGAAAGAGATCATTCGTCTCAGTGGCACCGGCCACTGTCGAACCACTGCGTACCATCCTCATACAAATGAACTAACAGAACGGCTAAACAAAACTATCGCCGACATGATCTCCATGTATATCGACGTAAAGCACAATACTTGGGACGAGGTGTTACCCTACGCCCCGTTTGCTTCAGCACGGCGGCGCAACACACCACAGGAGTAACCCCGTTTCAGCTGGTGCATGACAGAAAAGTAACGACCATGCTCTACGCGATGCTACCCCACGAACCAGCTGACGATGGGATTCCCGGCGCCCAGGTGGTTTCTCAACGAAGAAGCTCGCCAGCTCGTCCGACTCCGAATTTAATATCAACAACATGTTGACGCTACCCGGTACAACCTTCGCCGTATCGAAGTTCGCTTCAAGCCCAGAGACCATGTGTGGGTTGGGGCCCCAATACGAGACGCGGTCTAAGCGAGAAACTCCTGAAGCTCTTCTTCGGACCCTGCAAAGTGCTTCGCCGACTCGGTGATCTAAACTACGAGGGAATGCCTGACGGAAAACGGACTTCATCACGCCGCCCTACACGATCGGAAGTGGTCCATGTCGTGCGCTCCCCGCGCGATAAGACTGTGAACTGTGATCTTGTGCAACGCTTGATAGGATTGTGTTTTGCCAGCCTCCGTATATACCCATTTTTTTTTTTTGTCTTGCTCTGTTCTGCTGCCTTTCAGGTGGCATCGAGACGATGCCTCTTTAAAGGGGGAGAATGCCGAGCGCGTCGGCGACCGAGGGCGTGCGTGGCCGAGTGGTTACCGCGCTTGACTCTCGTGCCCAGGGTTCGATTCCTGGGAGCGACGCCAACGATGCGTCTTTTATTTATTTTTTCAATTTAAATTTCTTGTAAAGTCGAGAACCCTGTTGCTTGTTCGACGTCCAAATGTTTTACACGCCGAACCTTCTACGCCGATTGCTCCAGAAGCCCACGCGTGTACATAAGGCGCTCCGCATGGCGAGCCGCAGTTAGTGTCGCCCCAGCGCTCGATCCTGCTGTGTCGCCGACATCAACGCCTGCGAAGCTTACTTCTATTTTGTTTTGTGCACAAGTTCACCCCATTAAGTGTTTAGTTTTTTTTTCAGTTATTCTTCGCCCCATTATTTGTCATTCGTGACAATATGCCGGATTTTTGTCATATACGGCGGTCAATCGTCGGTGAAACAAACGTGTTGCCCCCAGCTGCACATGCAGCTGGATCGCTCGGTGTTGGCTCGGGCCAAGAGCTCTTAAATTTGGGAGTCCTTATTGCCTTGGGAGCAGGCCATCGAGTGCTGTAATCGAGCGCTGAAGTGAGGGCAACGTCTGTGGATTGACCACCGTGACAACCAGATGTTACTGTTATGAGTGCGTGTTATTACCTAAATTAAAGGCTGTGTACAGGAATTCGAGGTGCAAACCAATTTTTTTACACATGCGAAATATCAGCACGAGAAATTATCAGTGTGAATGCCAGAACAAGCTGGGCATATTAGATGAATGTGTTGTGTGTCTATGTTTATGCAGCCTGAAGTTAGTCTGCCTCAACTGGCGCCTTCTCTCGCAGCTGTAGATAAGTACTTTGGCCAGTGAAGTACAACCACTAGACTGCGGTCTTTAACCGGCACCACGCAGCAGTGATAGACGACCGCACGACAGTACGATACACATTCAGATCGAAACGGACAGCTGTGGGGATGAAACCCAGGGTCCCTGCGTTTTGCACCTCGAGCTTTTGCTCCGCGTGCTCCGACCTATTGTGCGCGAGCACAGCCGGCCACCGATCCCTCAAATAAAAATGTCTGGAGGAGAATGACACTGCTTCTAAGCAAGAAACAACGATTCTTGTAACTGTTGGTGGAGAAATGCGACATGCTCACCCTTGTAGCTTTTACTTCAGCGGCTCATACAGGGACAAAAGTCCGGCATGGCCGTTGAATTCTAAGTAGTGTACTTTCTGCAGGTGATGCTGGGCATCATGCAATCAGGGTCGACGTTGGATCCTCAGAGTCCGTGAATGCAATGTTTGTAGACATCAAGGAGACCTGTCAGCGGCCTGCAACCATTGTGGTTCACTGTGCTGGTGTGGGGCCTGCTTTGTGCCCCTTCGTTTCCCTGGAAGAAGAATCCTTGGATAAGGGGATGTGCATCAATCTGAAGGTGAGATACGGCTCGAGCTTGCTGCTTATAAGCACTGTGCTGTACCCGTTCAGGTCGACGAGACGATGCGCACATGTAGATAAAAACCAGCCATTACCCCACACTATCGTGGTGAAGGCAGTGGGCTCACACAACATGTAATGCAGCCCTGAACTAGATGCAATCACGATTCACCGATTCTAAGGCCGTGGAAAACTAAGGGAACGACTCGAGACGTACCTGAAAAGAGAAAATGGGATAGTCGCGCCGTGATGCGGATTCCTTGACAACTGCCTAAGGGCTGGTTCACACTTACGGAAAACTCTCTAGCCACCGTCCAAACCTAATGGGAGAAAAAGACCTCGCCTTTCGGATTCGTTGCCAGCCGCCTCTTCCGCGCGACTGCGGTCTCTCTCGGATTCCTGAGCAGACTGCCCCTGGCTCGAGCGGTGTTTGAATGACAGCTCTTGCAGCTAACACTAACACGCAGTGCAAAATACAAGTCAGCGGAGACAACTTGTGTAATAGTACCTCTCCCGCCAATTTTATTCCACAGATTTGTGGGCACTGTCATCGTCGTTCAGATGCCTCTTGTCGAACACGGTTGATTAATGGACCTTTTCCGAGAAGCGTTCTGCGCACGCGCGAGCGCCCGATGCCAAGCGGCGGAAGTCGGAACGAAAAATCGAGGAAATTCGGGAGGAGGCTGTATATCAGCGAGTAGAACTCGTAACCGCAGCATATATATAATTGTGTGACACAAAAAAAGAACGTCGACGGAAAGGAAAACACGACGTTTGGGTGGACGCCACGCATGCCCCTCTTTAAAGTCGCGTTGGGCAGGCGCCGCTGCTCAGAGAGCGAAGAAACTGGTAGCGTAGCTCCCATTATTGATTGGTAGCGCAGGTAGGTCACTTCCTCGATTTTTAGTTCGTGCAGCTACCGCCTGGTGCCGTTGGTATGTGGAAAAGGTCCATTTAGTCTCGATGAGCATTGACCCCTTAAGTGATGACGTCACAACATGCAACCGTGCTCCAAACAAACCGCTGCTATAGGGCCGTTGTTATGGGCAAATGCATAGAGTCTTGACGCGACGTTAAAATTTGCCTGATATACTTTTCTTGGTAAACATAGTGTCTTCTCAGTGTCTAGCCGTTAAGACTTCTTCTATTTTGACAGTGCCCTATAGCGACGATAAAAAGCCTATAATAAATTGCTACAACCGATTTTGCCTTGCTAGCAGACGACACCAGGGCTTCCCGGGACAAGTTTGGTTCAGCAGTCCTTTTTAAGGAAACACGCGACTGCGTTGAATGAAGTTGGTGACGAGCGACGAAAGTTATATTCTTGGGGTCCACTTTCTGTGGGATTTCGAAAGCGAAAAGCGCCCGTGCACACCTTTGATCGACGTGCGAGGTGAGCGAGTGCACGAACGCCTACCCATAGATGCTTTCGCAATTTTTGAGAGGGTGACAACACTGCGAAGCAGAATCATGTAATGCTGATAGGTTATGAAGACGACATGAACTGTATCAACGTGAAAGTGCAGGTCAGCTTGAGTTTTAAGAATTTACGACAGCACAGAAGTTTCTTCACGGCACATGTCTGTGTTATCGAACAAACTCTGAGTAACATACATAAATTTTTCTAATGTCCTTACCCAGTTCTTTCACCATTTGGGGTTTCGCTGAAATCGATGAATCAACATAATTTCATCTCACAGTGATGGTTACACGTATGTACGAAACACAGTGCCATATTGTGAGCCTGTAAACGAAATTTGATCTCAAACCGATAATGCTCCTTCACTACAATGCACGTCAGATGCAAAAAATAAAAAAAAGTAAAAAAAAAGTCAGGGCACTTACGCAATTTATGAGGTGAAACACTGCGACAGCTGAGGTGTGACGTCGGAGCAGCTAAGGTATCATTTCGGAGCAGGTGGATCGAATGAACGGTACCGGTGTGAGGGCGCACCATGAAGTCCGTATAGACGTTTCCTACTAAACGGAGTAACAGAACGGACGAAAAATCCATAACGCTTGGGAACCAACGAGGGTGTCTTAAGTAGGGAGCATTTCGTGAACCTGTTAAACAATTTTTTGACCACGAACAAGGACTTCCTTGTGGTAATTGAAGAACACCTAGAAAATCGCGCGTTCAAGTTTAAAATCCAGGGAACGACGAAAACTGCATGTGTATTCAGGAATCGGCGTGGCCGCCTGTGAACGTCTTACGCAATGTTATTGGACACAAAGTAACACCACCTTGTGGTCACTGATGAAGACTTCCAAATTCGCGCAGTCGAGCTTAAGCGTGTAGCTCCACATAATTTCACGACCGTGGTTTGCTGGCTTAACACTTACCTAGCTTTACTGGTTTTATTGCCCGAGAAACTCTCTGTTATGTTTAGCGAAACACTTTGTTTTTATTGTTGCCATTATCAGCAGTCTCATGTTTATGTTTCTACGAGCCTTCATAATATCATTGGCGACGTATTGTCACGTTATTTTTCAATGTCAGGTGACGTCACAGTGTCACGTGACGTAAATATATCACGTGGAGCTATACGGTCACCTGACGTCATCAGTTCCAGTGGCGTTATTGTGCAACGTGGCGGTAAAAACTTCCTCCAACAGCCTCTGATATTACAAACGATTTAATCTGAGCAGCTCGTCATAGCGGTTGCACCATCAGCCCAGAGAAAAAAAAATTGCGCGTGCCCGGCCTTTGATGGCACGAGATCCTCCTTTTCCTCGTAGGTCTTTTCTTCCAGTCGCGAGATGCTGTTATGTTTAACAGGCTCCCACCGCGGACTTGTTGCAGACTTCCAGTGGGTGAAGAAGTTGGACTGGTCTCCTAAAAGTTCGTCCGTCCGCCAGTCGCACTTCACACGAGCGAATGATATTATCTCCTCCAGGGTGCACGTCTGTTATTCGTCCCACCTTCGACGTTTCTCTTGGTCGTCTCGCATCGTGAATAATTACCACGTCCCCGACAGCAATAGGCGTTGTGTTCTTGGGTGGAGTGTGGTGGGCAGAGCGAAGTTGCAAAAGATACTCCTTCATCCACACCTTCCAAAACTGTTGTGAAATTAGTTCTCGGTAGCTCCATCGCCGTCTTAGCTCACGCGATGTCTGCGGGTTGGAGGTCATTTGCTTCAGTGTAGGCAACGACAGAAGGCGCTTTCCTACTAGGAAATGTGCAGGTGTTAAAATTGTTGGTTGCCGTTGATCTGAGTAAAGAAATGTGAAAGGACGCGAGTCCACGGCGGCTTCTATTTCCTGTAACGCCGTCGACAACTCTTCAAAATTAAGATAGCTTCGTGCTAGAACCTTCCTGAGGGAGGTCTTCACTGTCCGTATCGTTTTCTGCCAGAAACCTCCCCACCATGCGGCTCTTTCGGAGCTAAATTTCCAGGTTATGTGATGGTGGGCGACATAGTCTTGTACATCCTGATGTCGGAGCAGTTCCCAGACAGCTGATATGCCTCTTGCAAGTGTCTTGAATGCCAAAGCGTTGTCTGAATAAAGTAGGTCTGACAGTCCTCTTCTGGAAAGGAACCGACGTAGAGCCATCAAGAAGGATTGTGTAGATGTGCTCGTTGTGAGCTCGAGGTGAACTGCTCGCGTGACTGCGCATGTGAAGATGGCGATATATGACTTCTCGTTCTTTTGTTTCTTTGTGTAAAGTGGACCTGCAAAATCAATACCCCCGACGTTGAATGGGTGCGTCGCCTCAATGCGTTCTTTTGGTAGTGGTGCCATAGGAGCTGATGCGGCACTCAAGTGTGTCCTTGCACACTTGGTGCCAATAAACGCCAATAAAGACAATAAATAAACGCCAATAAAGACAATAAAAAAACCAAGGGCCCCGAAAATACTTGTGGAGAGGGCATCTTATTTTGTTTTTATTCCACCGTTTTAAAATTTCGATTGTTCTTCCTCCCACTTTTTCAGGGCACTTTCCTGGTCAATCAAGCAGCCGCTTGTGCGATGATAGCGGGAAAAGCCACCGAATGCGCTATCGTTAATCTGGCAAGCATGGCGGCCAAAGCATTCGTACCTGGAACGAGCGTGTATTCCGCCGCCAAGGCCGGAGTGGTGGCCCTGACTCAAGTGGCCGCTGCGGAGCTGGCCGCACACGGCATTCGGGTCAACGCCGTCTTGCCAGAAGTCGTGGACACGCCAATGGCTGACACGTCATACACCGCCCAGCAGATAGCCAGGATGGTCGCCCGTCAGCCCCTTGGGAGACTCTGTCGCCCGGAGGAAGTGGCGGAGACGGTCAAGTTCCTCTGCGGTCCCGGCACCTCGTGCACCAGCGGCGTTTGCGTCGACGTAACCTACTGTTTTTACAAGCAATGCTAAGCAGAAAACGCAAAAGCGTCGGTTTGGGACAGTCCCTTCAGCAAAAGCGTTGAGCGCCGTCTTTGGAGCCGAAAGGAATGCCGGGAACGACCTGTGTTGAGCCGGCGGTGACATAGGACGGTGGCGACCTCAGAGTCTGCAGATTATACAGATGCAGGATGGCGTGCGAGGGCGGGCGAGCCAACACACCACCTTCCAGATAATAAAAACGAGGAGCTGAATTTCGCTGCGTCACCGTAAGGCACAGATTACTCACGAGTGCTGCGTCAACGCTCGGCTTGAATTCGCGTTCAATCAGCGCGAACGCGAGCGTCAGCCGAGGGCCGATGCAGTATTCGTGTTCAATCTAATCACAGCGTTGAATTACTTTAGGTGACGCTGACAATCAGCACTGAAGCCTCGTTCACGCTCGCGGTAAACTTTGTTCCCGCCTGACCGAATTCGCCGAGTAAAAAAAGTACGCGCCGTTCAGATTCGTTTTCGCCCGCCGCGTCCACGTGTCTCTGTTCTGTCGCGGATACGATAGAAGACAGCTCGTGCCGCAGTGTTTGAAAAACTGCACTCGCAGACTTCACTTTGCAGTCAGCGCTGCACCCGATATAAGATAGCTAATTCATATTAAAAAGCCTAGTATGCATGTACACCTGCTCCTGAATGCGCACAATCTGGTATGCGTTTCTGTTATAATTTCATAGAAGAGGAAAGCGCCCACAATGCCGCGAGAAGGCGCAACGCTCTCTCGGCGATACGAGAATGCAATGATGAAACAACGAGCAAACGAATACAACGTGTGTACGATACCGCTCACGCCAATATGATTCCGCAGATATCCTTTGCGGGCACTGCCTCCCCGATCTTCGGGTCCCTCTAGTCGAAGAAGGTCGAATAATTTTTTTTTAGCCTTGATTTATATTTCTGCCGACATAACGATACCGGCGAGACGGCGCCATTTCCACAATCTGGGAATTCTAACAACTCTGGTGAGCGAGGGCGAGCGAGCCAACACACCAGTTCCGAGTTTTTAAAGTGTTTAAAGTTTTTAAAGCCGATCCGCCCAACCGCTCGGGCGGATTGGCTAGGATGAGACCTGAGCAAAAACCATTTTCTTCTTGCGTTCTGATTGGCTGTGGCGGCACAAAAAAAGAAAAAAGAAAAACATTTTACGCGCGAAAAAGAATCGGTCCCGCGTACCGATGGCTTCCGCGGCCGAATCTTCTGTCGGCCGCAAGCCGATTTGGCCGCCAGACGTCAAATTCCACGCTGGTTCCCCCGCGGACACCCAAGGGTGAGCTGTGAACGAGCCATGCGGTTTTGCTATCTGGGAGGTATTAGTGCAGGGCTTTCCTGCTACTCCATAAACACGCGCTTCGTGGCCAATCATTTTTTTTTTTTTGCGAAGCAATTAGTGATTGTTTTGTAATTATTGTGATTGCATTCGTTCGTATGATATAGGGTCCTCCTCTTCGGGTAAAGCCAGATATCCTCCGATATTTGCACCCAGATGTTTTATTTGTTTTTTGTATTTTGGAAAATAGGATTACACCCGATATTTTTCCGAGTTTTTAAAGTGGATTCTACCGTTTCTATGCATGTTGTTGTAGAAAACGGAGCTCATTCACAGAACTTGCTGGAAGCGAACGAGAAAGCAGCAGAACAGAAGCTACCCCAAAAAAGCAGTTTTTTTTTTGCAAATGACGTATGTCAACAAAGAATTTGTGAAAAATCAAAACGACCAAATGTGCTGTCTTCTGTATTTTGTCAATAGTTTGGGTAAATACAATATTACATGTCCTAAACCCAATCCATATTTTTATTGTAAATTATAGTTCCTAATCACTAATAACTGGAAAAACTCGAATTCCGTAACTATTTCAAGACAAACCCGATTTCTCCCTGTTAACTCCCTTAGTACAAACCGCAATATTTTTAACCCCGATATTAATTTAAAAAAAAAGAAAATTAAACAACATTCGAAAAATAAGAGGCCCTTTATTATTTTCTGGTAGTTCGATTGTGTTAATAGTCGCCTGTAGCGTGTAATAGTGTTCATTTTACGTGTGGTTTGCTAGCTTGAAATCCTTTGTTAGAAACTGTCTTTCAATAGGAAAAACAACTTTTGTTGAAGAAAAACCGTAACTAATCAGGGGACAAAAATAGTTTGGTTCCGCGTTTTTCTGCGAAACCAAAATAAAGAGCAAAATAGTCCTATAAAGCCACACGGAAAGCGCTACATACAGGAAATTTTTTTCGCATTTCTACGCTTGTGTTAGAACCAACTTATCCAATTTAGGCGCAAACAATGCGCCACGACACCGTGTTTTTAACTTGTGATTTTGTGCTTGTGTTGCAACTAGCTTTTTGTCCCGGCCCGTACCTGGGACGAAACGGAGTATATCGTTTAACTATTGAGAGCTCTTGACACCCTAAGTTCGCCGCTTAATAGCGCGAGCCATTGTTTTCGTCTCGATAACCTAGAAATTGCCATGGCCCTTTTTCTAGTGACTCGCTGCGTATCTCTCGATAGGGTCTGCCAGCTACACCATGTGTACGAAAAACTTAATTAACGCTTTCGAATTATTTCACTTTGCAGATACGCAGATATAAACTTGTACTCCCCAGTCTCGTAGATGTATTACTGGAGACTTATACAGCCGAGATCTTTCTACTTGTAGTTTCGAATTTTGTGTATACATTTGTTTCAGAGTATTTGTGTACTGTATCTCATCTCCATTTCTAAGTGCCTCGTAACCGTTAACGAAAATAAAATTTTAAACCTCGCAAACATTTTCTGCTTGAATGACCTCGGCCGCACTCGGGGCCCTCCGCTCTTAGATAATATACAAAAGACACGGAGTTTCTGTGCAATCACGACGAGAAAGTTATCTGCGCAAAAGACTCAAGAATGATCTAAACTTCTTTGCTTTATAAATTTGTGTACTTCGAACATCTGTGCAGACTGTCGTTTGTATGAGCAATGTGACAGGCCATATAAGGAAGAAAAATGCCTCAGACACTGTGTGCAGTCTGCTGTTTATATGATATATTGGCAGTGTGTAGGCGCAGATTTACGTGCATCGAAGTAGTTAGCCAAGTTAAGAAAACTGAGCTGCCAAAATATTGTTTTTTTTATATGATAAAAGTATTTCTATAAAACCCGTATGTAATAAATGAAATCTTAAGGAAACAATACACTTTTATAGTGAAATTATAAAAAAAAAAGAGCTCAGAAGATCGTTACAAGTTAACTAGGATATCAAGATATACTTCCGCCGGCGCACCTTTGGGCATTTATCGCATCGTTATCGGGTACCGACTTATAGTTGTCAGAGTTACCGGCACGGCCTGTCAACACTCGCGCTATTTACTCCGCGAGGTAATATCTCGCTTGTGTTCGAAAAATTTACTCTTTCCGACTCGGAATGAAAGATATCGTGCCATGACGCTTAAAAAATCTTCTCGCGCTTGCTCGATGAAGTCAGAACTCTCGTTTCAGAAATGGGTTGTTCACTTCGGTTTCACGCTTGTCTCTTCTGATGGAGCGTATCATCGAATTCAGCGGAGTAAAGGACGTCATATTGCCTGGCACGTCTGCAAGCAAACGCCACCGTGGCCGAGTGGTTGTCGTCCTTGGCTCGTACGCAAAGAACTCGAGGTTCGATGGCTGGGAGCGGACGCGCCTTTCTGTTATTTCTGTAAATGTCGCGTTCAGGTGAATTCAAGAACATTGTAGCTTATTCTAGGTCCGAATGTTCTAGGCGTCGAACCTTCTGCGTTGATTATTCTAGAAGCCCTCGCGTGTAGATAAGGGGCTCCGCGTAGCGAGCCGAGGTCAGTCTCGCCCCAGCGTTCGATCCTGCTGTTTCGCTGCTATCGACGCTAGACTTTTTTTATTTTGTTTTGGGCACAAGTTCTTTCCATTATGCGTTTAGCTTGCTTCAGTTTTCATCGCCTCATCAATTGTAATTCGTGACTTATTTGGTGGAGGTGCGGGATATCACCACATTCCATTCCAGAGAAACGTACCCCTCAGAAGATCTGTCGGGCTCAATCTTTCTCAAGTCCCGAAAAGCTTATCCCCGTTGACGAACCTGAAACTGGGGAAACCGCGTACACAAGGCCTGCCTCCTGAATTCGTTCCTCAATCGTCGAAGACAACCAAAACTACGACCGCCGACTTCCATCGTCTACGTGCAGGCCCTGTCACGGGCGCCGGCGACTTTCAATGGCGACCTTTACGAAGATGTGGACGACTGGCTAAGCCAGTACGAGCTCGTCGCAGGGTTCAACGGATGGGAGGCTGAGCAAAGCCTACGGAACGTCTACTTTGCTCTGGAAAGCACGGCCCGCACCTGGTAAGTCGTGGGAAGAATTCCAGGTCCAGCTTCGACGCACCTTTGCCAATCAGCAGCGACGACAGCGGCCCGAAGAACTTTTGCAAGCAAGAACCCAAGGGCCGAAAGAAAGCGTCACAAGCATCGTCGAAGGCGTTCTCCGCCTGATGAACCGCACGGACCTAAACTCTTCTGAAAAAGAAAAGCTGCGGATCCTGATGCGGGGAATGAAGGAAAACATTTTCGGAGTCCTTCTGTGAGACCCGCCTATTACAGTCAAAGGATTCGTCACTGAGGCTACAAACACCGAACGTGCCGTTCAAGTACGGGCCTCCTATTACCAGCAACTTCCCGGCGTCGCTTCACTCTCGCCTTCCAGCTACAACAGCCCGGATTTCCGCGAGCTCATCAGGGATGTCGTGCTGGAGGAAATCAAGAAGCTTCTACCGGCTGCCGCAAATCCAGCTTGGCCCTCAATCGCCGAGATTGTCCGGGAAGAAGTTGAGCAGGTGCTGCAGCCAGAAGTTCTCGTTAGCGCTGGTCCCGCACCTCCGGTGCTCAGCTACGCCGCAGCTAACAGACCACCACCGCCCCTGGTTCACCCGTATACGGCACTACCGCGACGTGAACCTCCAGCTGCGCAGCACGTACGCCCAGAG